TGACCCCCTAACTCAGTAAATAGTTACTTCTAAAATTTTGCCAAACTAAGGTTTTTATAGAATATATTTACTTATAGACAGGTCAATGTTTATAGCAACATATCTCAATGTATCACTATTGTTGTAAATTTTATACTAAGTTTTTTTCTGTAAAAATTAAATCAACAATTAATAAAGATCACAATTTGAGAAGTGCCTTGCAAAAAAAAAAAAAAATGGTTTTTTAAAAAATTTACAAAATAATAAATATAAAATTTTAACAAACCAATTTAAATACAATAAAAAACAAGTCATATAATTTTTTTTGAAATTTTATAATTTATATATAAATATTAATCAAAAATTATTTAAAAAAACTTTGATATTATATTTAGATTTTAAAAAAGATATAGTGTGAAACAAAAATAATTGAACAATACATTGATAAAACAAGATAAAAATTTATATTAATATATTTAAGAATATAAAAAACAAGTTTACTTAATAAATTTTTTAAAATATATTAATAAAATTTTTTTAAAATTTAATTAAAAAAAAACTTTTTTTAAAAAAATAATTAATTTTAGTTATACAGTCAAACCTCTTTATACCGATATTTTATATACCGATATCACGTTTTTTATAATTAAATCTCACTATACCAATATTTTTCTCAAAACCACTCCTAATTAAAGTCATCTTTTTATACCGATATTTTCTTTTTATACCGATATTCAAAAAAAAAAACAACTGCTCTTAATTAAATCGATTTTATATACTGATATCTATAATAAAAATTCTATATACTGATATTTTTTGCTGACCAAACCAGTCATATCGGTATAAAGAGGTTTGACTGTATTACAAAATAAAAATATTAAAAAATATTAAAATTATTTCAATGTATGAATTTGTTAAACAAAAGTTATAATAATAATATAATAATGATTATTTTTTTATTAAATATAAAAAAATATTTAATAATTAATTTAACTTAAAATTTAGTCAAATTTTATTAAAAAACATAAATTTTATATTAAACATAAAGTTTTTAAAATTTTTATAGATTTTTTAAAAATAATTTTATATAATAAAAAAATAAACCAACCTTAATAATATTTATTAAATATAATAATGAATCTTTTATAATTTTTTTATAAGCTTAAAATTTTTATTTATTTTTATATTTAATTTTTTCAAAAATTTCTTTATAGTAAAATTTTAATTTCCATTCATATTTTATATATAAATTTATATATATAATTTATAATGTATTTTTTGAAAATTTTTTTTTGACTTTAAATCAATATTTTCAAATAAATTTATTAATTAAGCATTAATAAAACTTTGTTTTATCTTAATTAATATTATTATTTATTGAATTATAATAAAAAAAATCAGTCCAATTATTTTTGTCCCACACTGTATATTTGATGTTTTAAATTAATTAAATTAATTTTTTGTTACACACTGTATCTACACATTTGCAATTGTTCACGCCAATTAATTTTGAGATTTGGCAAGTTAAACTTTTATTATTTTAGACTTGTGTATCTATTAGCCTAGAAATAATATGAAACCAATCCAATTTTATCATTTTCTATTCCGTTAAATAATGTTGAGTCTTCTTACGCAAATACTCTCTTTTAATTCCAGGTAGATATTGCATAATTTCATCATATATTTGTGTTCTTTCCATTTGATCACTAATATTATTTTCTAAACTAAAAGTTG